TATTTATATATCTATGTACATGTCACCCGCCACAAAATGAAATCAAGAGCGTGCACAAAACACTTTTTACAAAACTTCAACAAAACAGTTGTAGTACAAATGCTATGACATACAAGGTGAAAATTCAAGTAATGAAAGGAATGGGGATTGGGAAGTGGGGAAGGGCATATCCCAATCAGACCACAAAACCACTCTCTGATACAAGATGACGGAAAGTCTCATCAAATGGCTCCCATGAAGCCACACCCACCCACCAAAACTTGCACACATTCAGCAAGAGACGAGAGAGAGTCTCTATCACATGTTCCAAATAGAAGAGACACAGCACAGACATACTCGTAAAAGAAAAAACAAACATATATATGTATTGTGGGGATTGCCATTTCTGCTGTCCTTACTCCTGAAGCTGGACGAAGTATGTGAAAAGATGAGACGTAGATGACGATAGAAAGTGAGTGTGGAGTGATTGGGCCACATTTCACGGGTGGAGGGGAGAGGGGAGAGAGGGAGGGGGAGAGATGGAGGGAAGGAGAAAGGGGTGAAGGTGAGGATGAGTGAAAAAGGGAAGGAAGAGGGTGATCAGGAGAGAGAGAGACATGACGTAGAAATAGAGAAAAAGATGACAGGCAACACTAGAGTGAAAAGACAAAAAGAAGAAAGGATAGGGGGGGGGGGGGGTGAAAGGGAGGGAAAAAAGAGGGAGGGGATACATATGAAAATCACATAGGCTTCACAGATGACTGGGGATTGACACTGGATGATATAAATTATGAAAGATGGCAGCATTTAAAGTGATTACGATGACAGTCCCAGTGAGAGCATAATACAAGATACTGAGAAGACCTTTCCTCCATTCCAAAAGCTCTACAAGTACTGCAATCAGACAAAGCCTCAGTGATAGCCAAGCCAGACTTGCACCACCAAACGTCCATTTCTTACGCGACAGTGGATGTACCAAGTTCTTGGCAGCTCAAACGCAACTCTGGGCACTGAAGTAAACAACAGAACCCTCCAACTACGTACAACTGAGCTGGCTAAAACAACACAGGAAAACAACAAAACCCTTTCATAAATGTCACACCCTCACCAACATTTTTTTAAATGCAGGAAGACAGTGAAGTCAAGCCAAGTCCAGAAGCATTGGCCTACAATCCCTTTCCTATTTTTCTCATCCTAAAAAACCTATGGCCTTCCTAGACTGGGCACTGGTCTGGAATGTTCTAGAAAAGACATCTAGTGATTTAGTCTCTCAAAACAAAACAAGGTAAGAGCCTTTGAATCTAGAATTGCAACATAACCTTTCTTGTAGGCTAAAAAAAGCAAAATTTTTAGGGAACTTGAATTTATGAACTGCACAATCTTATCTTTTCCCAGGTAACATGTGACACAACATATTAAAACAAAGGCTTTCAAGCTAGCGAAAAATAATAGTCACAAAGGCAGACCAATAGAGCAAAGGAACTCGAAAGATAGAAGAAAAAACCCCCCAGAGGAACAGGTATAGGTAGAGACTAGCCAGCACTTTAACCTACCTGCTATCAACAAAAAGACAGCTATTACGAGAAAGGAAGACTAGACGAGAAAACAGAGGATTAATTCAAATATTTAAATAAAAAACCTAACCTAAACATATCTAATTTTTTTACATTTTGGGTTGGAGTCCTGACATCACAAGTTGAAGGACAACAATCATTTCCTTAGACTGAATTAAAAGGAACATGGCTAGACTTAGGAGCTCAAAAAACTGCCAGCAGACACGACAACACATGAGATGACAGCGATGTCTGTGCACCTGACAATCAGTGCACTAGTCTACTACCAACAAGTGTTTGAATTTTCACATAATATGCACAAAAATGATGACTTTGTATAAAATATTGTGTATTCCACCTCCCCATCTTTCAACAATAAGAACAACAAAAAACAAAATAAAATAACAAATAAAAAGAAAGAAAGAGTGTTACAGCAAGTGATGCAAGCTTTCTCTGTCCCTAAAACACAAAACAAGAACATCAAGGAGAAAGGAAATACATGCTCTAGTTTACATTTTTACCTTCTTGGACTCATCTGACATAGATTTTAATGAAATGATAACAGACCAATCAATAACTACTTGGAATGGGTGTGCCGATGACTGATATGTGTGTGTGTCTCTGTGTGAGTGCACACGGGTGACAGCTTTTACCCAAGTATGCGAGTATGCGCGCACACACTCTCGGGCAAAAATGTAAAGGACTGAGTCTGTACATGAGTGGGTGAGAGTACATCTATAAGAGAAATGAAAAGTACATTTAAAAAAAAACAAAATAGCACTACCGGTAGGAGGCCTACAAGGTCAGCTGAGAGCTTTAATATATTGTGCGCTGAATACTCTTCATGAAATAAAACAATGAGAAACAATGAAGTACTATAAAGCATACTCTATCTCTTATTGCAAGACCCAACATATGTTGTTTTTCTCCCTCTCTTCCAGACAGCTTGAACAGTAGGACACTTCCCACCAGTCTGCCTTCAAGGCTCTCACATCTGCAGCACAAACCGTCTCGCTAAGAAAAGATCTGTTAAACAAATTGCTAAAAAAAAAATAATACATAAAACCTTAGGTTTGACATTTCAGATCCATCACTTTTATAATGGCAAAAAGAGAAAGATCGGGAGAATGGAAACAGAAGAATAAAAAAGGTGCAAAAACTGATGAACCAGACCAGAGCCCCAGTCAACTCCATCCTGAAAATCTCATCCTCAAAATTCTTACGCCAGACTGTGGATGTCAATTTAGCATTACAGACCTGAGGCACCTTTTTTCTCTGACCAAGGGAGAGGGAGGGGGACAGCAAGTTCAATCTCCGATCATGACGACTTAAGGAAGGCTTTAGCAGTGTTATGCAAGCTTGCGTTACCCCCTTCCTTACAGCAAAGTAAGTGACTTGTGAATAAGAAACAACTCTCAACTGATCACACACCTCTGGACCGATCATCAACCATAACACTGCTGGCACAGCTGTATTCAGGTCTAGCTGTATATAGACACAGTATCTTTATTAGAACTTGAAGGAAAAATAAACACAGTCAAACCCAGAGTATTTGTTTTGTCACGAACAAACATGTACAGCTATCTCCTTAAAACACCCCATCAAATGCCAAGACAGATGACAAAATCAATGAAATCGTGTATATGTCATTTTGCTAGAAAAAATGAGACTAGTGTTTATGAAACCCTTCTAAAAAAACAAAAGATCTCTGTTCCAAGACTGAATGGCCTGTGGAAGTTTAACACTGCACTAGATACATCTTCAAAGACAGAGCATTTGGTCCCCCAATAGACACCGGACAAAAAGGAAATTTTTCAAGGAAGGACAAGAAAAGATTACTTCAGCTTCCACTCAGACTAGAACCCTGAACTTCTGCATACAGGTACAAACTGTCAATAACAGAAACAAAGCAGTCTGACAATCCCAAAACACAGTACTTGAGGAGTAATACTTTCAGAAGAAATTCCAAAATTTGAATACCAGTACTACATAAGTTATACGCAAGTTTTGAACTTCATACCCAGAAATTTAGATGCATTTTGACTGGCTAAGAAAACTATTAACAGGCCTTTCAGCAGTTTATACCTATATGTATGTACATATCTCACAAGTCTGGATTCAAAAGTTCAATAAGATTTGCAAAATTATAAACATACCATAAAAGCAGATCTATTTTCCTATATAATATATGCATTTCTTAACCCAAATTCATTTTGTCTTGTCTGAAGAGCTCTGCATTCAAACAATGCCAACAATAAAGAAGCTCTTAAAAATTTACAATCCTAATTTTTAAAATCTCATTCAGCACATGTTATAGTATGTGTTTTTGCTGTCCGTCTAAAATTAAAACAAAACAATAACAGCGCTGTCCTACTGACCATCTCCTGGCTGTATGAACCCAACAAAATTTTGACCATATGAAAACATAAAAGAACGGAACAAAAGCTTAATTATAAAAATATATAGTTTTTAAGTAATACCAACTTTCAAGCTTAACCGATACGAAAACAATTTTTAAAAATAACTCAACTAACAACATTTTGAGACTACATGCAACACAACTGTTCTCTAAATCCCTCCTGTGTTGTGATGTCCTTTTTGTGCTGCCTGAAGGTCAACTTCGCAGAACTCTTCACATTCTCTGCACACAATCAACTACTAGGACAGACAGACAGGGGTGGTGTGGAGTGGAGGTGTGAGCAAGTAGACCAGAACCAAAAAATCCTAAACAGTGTGAATGTGAAAATAGCTTGTGGACATGGGAAAATGAAAGTTTCATAACTCTACTCTAAAACATTTGCAGGGCTTATTGACATTTACATTGCTAATTGCTTAGCGAATTCAACATGAAATTTAAGTCCGGCTATTCATTTTGTGTACACGGTGTATGGCACAGTAGCATAGAGTATGAAAAGACTTTGAATAACAAGACACGGAGACGAACCCCTACCATCTTCATAGGTGAAAAAAGAAAAGTGTCAATTCATTGGGAAAGTTTAGACTTTAAAAATCCCAAGATTTCACCCTGGAAAAACATTTCACAACATCTCGGGCATCTCTTGCATTAAAAGGATGAATAATGCTTTTTTTCACTTCTGAAACTAATACTGTAAATCAGACAGGGTGCTTTTCTTTTTATAGATAACAGTTGTTGTGTAACAAATTTAAGTGACCCTCCCAGTAATTGCAGGCACTCATCCCGGGACCTCCAACACAACAACTGTTATTGAATAATGAGCAAGGGACTCTTGAATTAAAAAGAAGGTCACTAGCAAAGAATATCAAACCAGGTGATGCCTGCTGACCACCCCAACTAAGAGTCAGCAGAAGGTTGGGCAAAAATAACCACTCCCCAATGTAATGATGCATTGTCTGGCTATGACGGGGGGGAAAAAATTTACACACCCATCATTCATGCACACATACTGTGCACCCACACAATCACACATGCACTCAACATACAAATTCGCGCACACAAACAAACTCACATATATGGCACACCCACACATAATCGCTCACATCAGCACGGTGGAGAACACCGGGGGCAGGAGGGGGAAGCACCAGTTACACCAAAAGCCTTCACACTCAGAAGGACCAAATCCACGGAGTTGCATCGGCCTGCACAAGCTTGAACCCGGCCGTTACATCCAGGGCCTGAAGACAACACATAGCATGGCACCTCACACTCAGCGCCCGGCCCTGTCTGGCCACTCTGCGAGACGACCCTGCACACCCACAGCATTCTCTCCTTCCCCTTCTACACAAAGCACACAGCACAGAGACCAACAGTGTTCATCTCGGCAAAAGTTTTGTAACTATCCCAGGCTCCCTAACCCCAGAGGGAGAAGTTTCTCACAGCATAAGCTTCTGTCCTCTCTTTCAAGCCAGTCCTCTCCAGTCTATATCTTGAGGTCCTCTTGATCCGCCAGACCAGCTAAGGTTTTGCGGATGCGCAAGGCAGTAAGGCGGGCTGCTGAATTGCTGTACCAGCATTCTTTCATGAGGCGAGCCATCACTCGTAGAGACTGGAAAAGACAGAAAAAATCCATGTATTCATTTTGTTTTATGCTTATTTGAACCTGAACTAATAAATTTTTTTATTAAACAAAAAAATCACTTGGAAATGAAATCTTTTTTCTTCAGAAAGAACAGATAAGACAAGTTTTCAGTGACTCACTGAAATAAACAAACCTTTTAAGTGTTGAAAGATTGGTAAACACAAAAACCCCAAATTCTATCGACTGTCATGACAGAAAGACTGTTCGGAGGAATGTTTACTTCGTTAATACAATATGACTGTACCTACCACAGAACAAATGTAATTAACTTCAGAAAGCCCAAGAAAAACAAACTTATATCATCTCAAAGGCCAACCTCAGAATTGGTAATGCTACATAATTTTCAAATTTATTATTATTATGCTTTTGGAAACTCAATTCCCTAAATATTCACTCATAGCCGATTGTTTTAGTTCCCAGTTTCTGAACATAGCTGAAAACTTTTGACGGCAGAATAAACTCAAATGCAAAAGGGGAAAGACAAACCTCAATATTCTGCCATCTGTTTGGAATAGCAGGCCTCTGCTTGTCTCCACACACAATTTTCCTCATGTCTTCTAGTGAAGGATCAGACGGCACCACATCATAGTATGGAAGCTGGAACTCTTCAAATATACCTGGACAATTGGGACACACAAAAGAGAACACGTTTCAAACACTACTTCTCCATAAACAGTCACAAAGTGGGACAGAGACCTACAAGCCCTATACAGGCCCACGAAGCCAGGGTTTTTCCTGATCTTCCTAGCCGTAAATGGAAGAGATAACACCAGACCATATACCCTGCAGAAGACAGTACTTTCACCCATAAATACTTTGATAATCAGCTATTTTATTAGCCCTCCTTTAAAATGGCCATGTCTTTGATCGGAAAGACATGGGGGGGGGGGGGGGGGGGGGGGGGACTTTTAAGTTCGCACCCCCCCCCCCCCCCCCTCCAAACTCCAAGCATCAATAACTGTCAGAATGACAAAGTGAAAAAGCAAAGGTGGCGTTTTGTTCTGATGACACTTGGCAACCTAATACTTCTGTAACAAGCAAAAGGCAACACCTCTACAATCTACACATAAGGGCATTCACTCACCTCCCACTGAACATCTGCGGGCAATCTCCCACAAGACCAGGCCAAAAGAGTAGACATCAGCCCGCTTGAAGGACTCAAAGTGTTCCATGTTGATGCTTCCATCCAGACACTCTGGTGCCATGTAGCGTTTAGTACCCACGCGGTTGCTGTTAGCAATATCCACTTTGTCCGTTTTAGAGTTGTGGCCAACAGCAAGACCTGAAAGATGACGATTAAATTTATCATTAGTTCTGTTTTAATTGAAAAAAAAAAGCATATTAGCACAAACTATATTTAATCTAAACAGTTTGGGTACCGAAATAAAAAATACTTTACAAAAATTATGGTTATAAACAAAAAGGGAATCTAAAAATGTAGAAAACCAACCAGTGGAGAGCAGTTTCCATTGTCTGTTCAAAAGACAAAACCCTCATCACGTGTCCACAAATTAAAATTTCTTGCGTCTACAGTGTAAATATACGATACATCAATGCAATGGTATCAACAATAAAAAGCAGGAAAACGGACACACTTCCAGAATTATATTGTCTTTTTATAGCAGAAGTGTACAGCAAACCAGTACAACAGTCAAAATTTCGCAACAGAGTAAATAAAAGCAAAAGTAACACAGGTAAAAAGAAGGAGCTGACTCAGTCGAACCAACAACCGATCAAGAACATTTACATGAGTCTCTTTTACATACTATATGAGCTTTTTTTTTTTTAAAGAAGATCATGTCAACTTGGTCAGGGACCATCACTGCATCATGCAGCAATAACTTACCCAAATCTGCAATACAGCACGTTCCATTGTTTTTCACCAGGATGTTCTTTGACTTGAGATCTCTATGAGCTATAGCAGGCTTGCCTGAAGAAAAAAGAACCCGTTACGAGTAAGTTTGGTAAGAGGACAAATTTGTTTAAGATATAGGAAAAAACATCGACTCAATGACTGTCAATCATAGCAGGGAAAGAGTAAGACAGTCAGACAAATATAACACATAGTCATAGTAAAGAAAAGCAACCAATCACCCACAAGAGTGGTAAATTCACGTTTTGCACATAAACTTTCTATAATAAATACCAAATAACAGTCTGAAACAGGAGTAACTGATGACAAAGGGAAGTAAATCATGAAAGGAATACAGAAACTTTCTATTCTGAACACCGAGAGCCATTTCTTAAACAGAACAGCAGCACACACAAAAATGGAATGTATTGCAAATTTCACCTCTTAGTATTCTTCTGTGCTACCTCAACTCTTTGAAGACACAACATCGGATAATCCGCTGACATAGGAGCCTACCATTGTCGTCGTGTCAGCGGATAATCCACTGACAATTTTAAAACCTGTTTATTTGCTAAACTAGTGGTCTAAGGTGGACAACCCCTATATCCTAGCATCTGCGTTTGTTGCCATTTTTTTGTCCAAAAGTTGCCACAAAAATGGCAAAAGTTACCAAAAAAGTTGGCATTAATTTACAAGCTTTCAACTCTCTGTGACGACGTATATAGCAATATGTTGATAGAGGTAACAATCTAAAGCACCAGAATTTCTTATGCTCTGTTTTAAGCATCCAGAATATCATTTGTAGTCACACAGAGGGTAAAAACAAGAAAAATAAAGATTTCACAATAGAATGAAACCAAAATTAGAACAGCACGCAAAAATAACCACAAAAATTAACAAATAAGGGCATGTGTCCACCTATCCCAAAATTGGCTGTTTTAACCCTAAATGTGTGTAATTCAAGAAAAAGTAGGCCTACAGGATATTGCAAGTAAATTATGGAATCACACACAATTGGGGCGTGCCAGTGTCAGTATTCGGTTTTGGTGGAGACACGCTCTAACGTAACACATTTATATTTTTAAAAGAGTAGGAACAGCATTAAATTAAATGACATTACGCAGTATAAACACCAAAAAAAAAGAAAAACAAATCATAAGAACAATTTTTAGAAAAATTAACACCAACAAATTAAAACACAACAAAGAGGGAAAAATAAAAGACAGACAGCAATATAAATAGTATGTAATGTACTTATATTCTGCGCATGAAAATAGATACACAGGGACATCTTAAAACTTACCAAAATACATGTTCAAATATGTTATGAATTAGCTTTTTTTTTGGCTTTTTTTTTTAATGCAAAAATCGCGGCCGCGACAAACACAGATGCTAGTATATCATTGGAAAGCTTGTCCAAAGCCCTATAATTTAGTTGATTCCTTTTATTTGCTTTCAAATTAGAATCGCTTTGCATGCCGTTTGTTTTAAGCCCATTGTTTCGCACGAATTCGCACGAAATGTTGCAGTTTCTATCCAAAATGGCGAGCTTCAGGCGACGTGGTTTGATGTGGACTGAAGAAGCTTTGGAGTTGTTTCTGGATGATGGCAGTGATGAGGAGTTAGATTTAAAGTAAGAAGAAGAAAGTTCAGATGACAGTGATGATGAATCTGTACCATTGGTTGGTAGATCTACCTGACCCCCAAGTCTCATCTTGTCAAAAGTTTTTTTTCTTTTGAGGGCAACTATAGTGATTTTGTCGTCCTGATCAAGGTAAGATTGGTATTGTGAAAGTATGATTGATCGGTATTTGAGAAAAATAGAGAAATAATACTTTTCAGTGATGTAAGTGTAACTTTTGTAGTTGATAGTAACAAAATGGTGACTTGGTAAAAAAGGGCAAAGAACGTGCGTCACAAGGTATCAAAAAAGGGAAAGTGGGTGCGTCTCCAAAGAGTTCTTTGTATCATGCTTCATTTACTACAAACAATACTTTCTGAATCTACGTCTCTCTTGTCTGTATGAAAAAAACCCTACAAAACAGATTAAGAAAAAAAAATAAAAAAATTTTTGTCTTCAAAACATTTTCAAACATGAACAGATTTCTAGAGCTATACCAATAGACGGCAGTCCACAAAAGTCTGCATACTATCAACTGAAAAAAAACTGAATGATTTTTTAAAAATGAAAGGAAAACATTTCAATTACCTGAAGATGGCCTTTCCATTATACATGTTCCTTGCTCATCTTGACAGTATGTGTTCTACTTCCCTATCAAAACAAATACACCCATTTGCCAAGTGATTAGCTTACCTTGAGCACCTAAGATCTCCATGTGTAGATGTGCCATGCCCCCAGCAGCAGTATGGGCTAAGCGGATCATGCTGGTTGGGCTGATTGTTTGACGGTTTAGATAGTCAAACAGGGAGCCATTCTCGTAATAGTCTGTGATCAACCAAAGCTGAGTCCAGGTCCCGTTATCTGTGTGTGAGAGAGAGTCCATGAGAGAGAGAGAGACAGAGTAATATTAAGTGCTCCCCAGAAGCACTTGACTGAAAACAGGGCATAAATAACTTTCAATCCTCTTTTCAATTCCACAGAATTACATCATTAAAATAAACATAAGATTCTTTTAAAAAAGACTTTTCTTAAGCTAGAGATATTTTTTCATAGGAAGGCACCTGAAAAATCTTAGTTTATAAACAAATGTCTTTGCAAGATAAATCCAGGTGACATGAAATCTTTATCTCAACTCCATCATTTTAGTCAATGCGAAGTGTCTCACTTAAAGGTCCGTTTCTGAACTTGGGGACACTCTTGTTACAGACACAGACCCCTCATATCTAACTACACAAAGTCTAAACAGCTAATAATATATTTTCTTTTTAATACATCACAAGGTTATCGCGAGACTATAGTAACGATAGTGAACATGGGAACTTGAGACCCGATTCGGTGTACGGAACCACCAAAAAACGGTTTAAACTAAGTTACTCTTTTCAAGGAATATTTTCCTAGCATTTCCTGCCCCAAACAATAATCTACACCCAGAATTGGAAGAGAAAACAAATAGTCTAGGAATTTGTTTACATCACTCACTAAGGCAGTAATGGAATCTGAAATGGCTGCAAATAAGAAAGTATGCAAACTGTTCAACCCATTTTTATTAGGATAGCAGTATATATATCGACCTCTGTGTCCCAGGCTGCTTTGAACTGTATCACTCACACTAGGACAAGGAGAAATTTGACACCAAAATATCAGGACAAACAGACCAGCAAAGACACTGACAAACAAACAAATTTAATCTAAGACAAGGTATTGTTTTGAAAATTATTATCCTTGTGTCTTTTCTTGACTCAATTTTCAGTTCAATGATGTTTGGTTCATACTTCTATCTAAAAAAATGAAGTTATAAGCATTTTTCACAACCCACCCTAATTTTCATGAAGTCTTCAAATAAATTTGCCTCAGGGGGACCGGACAGTGCAAATTAATTCATCTCTTGAAGGGTTAAAATGACAGCGAGGTGTTTGAAGTCGTAATCTGAGCACATGTTCCATGGATTTTTTATCTTGGTTATTTTATCAGTGACAACTGATAGAGACAATCAATAAGCACATGTGACCCAAGCACTTTTACTAAGCAATGTTTTATTAAAGTACGCTAATTGTGCTCCGCCATTTTCAATACACTCCAATGTTCTGTGATAAAAGAGCCTTGCTTGTCATTTACTGCCATTCTTATTTATGCAACAAATCAAATTTAGTGTTTCCTTTGTATCATCAAATTCAAACTCTGACTCAACACCACCAACAAAGGATACAAGTGTGAAAGTTCAACTCCTAATCAAAGGCGCATCCCCTTAAAAAGAGTTCAATAGTTCGTAAACTTCCCTACGTGTCAAAATATCAACAACGAGAGCAAACATTGCAAATCAGAAAGATGTTCTGTGGATTCCCCACCCAATCTCCCAGCACACACATTTCTCAAAGAACAACCATTCCTCGTTATATTTATCAAGTGGAGCTTGATGAGTATCAGTACATTACCTTTGTTATCTGCAGCAATAAATCCCAGAATATTCTCATGCCTCAACATGACTGTCTGGTAAATCTCTGCCTCTCGGTACCAGGATCGTTCCTCCCTTGAGGGGAAGATTTTCACTGCCACATTCTCACCCCTCCAGTTACCCCTCCACACTTCTCCATAGCGGCCTTTCCCTATGATCTCACACAGGCGAATTTGTCGTGCAATGGTGCGCTGCACCAACAAAGGCAAGCCTAAATGAAACAAAAATGCAAAAGCCATATGATCATAATTTATATTACAATTAGTATTAAACTTTATAAAAATCAAGAGGCAAAGCCTACTTCGAACATCTGCAAACAGTTTCACAATACATCTACTTTCATATCACTAATTAATACTGTCCTCACATTATAGTAACAATCTAAGAATTAACAACAACTTTTTTCTGCTTCATATCCATCAAGCAACAAAGTAGCACACAAAAATACAAAGACTTTTCTGCAATTCAGCTATTTACCTTGTATTTTCTTTACAACACCATGAAAAAACAACCAGTCAGACCACAGCCTAGTTTTTCGAGATGCCACATGCAAACTAACAGCAGCTGCACAGCATCTTACAAAATGTGTTGGAGTCCCCTCTTTTCCTATGTTCATACAATACCACACTAAAGAAACCAAAAAAAACCCCCAAAACAACCAACCCATTTAAAAAAAAAGTTTTTGAAACTTTCAAAAGATAAGTACTCATTTCCTTCAAACACAATCCTAAAAAAAATGTAAGAGTCCAAAACAGAACAGACATACCTGAACCAGAACCAGACTGGGACCAGTCATACAATTCTTTCAAGGATGACGGCTGTGAGCCCATCAGCGGGTTCGTATCCACGTTCTGATCTGGAGGTGGGGCGTACGGCCGCGGGCGGCGGCGACAGTAGCAGTACGCGTAGACAGCAACAATTGTAATAACCACCAAAGCCATGATAGGCAGAGCAATGACCACCACCATTTCCATGGGAGAAATGTCAGAACCTGCAGATAGCAAAATCATTTACATATATACCTCTCACGAGTGTCGTAGAGTAAAATTTTGTTTGAATATTTGTTTGAAAGTTTTTGTTGAGCGAGTCCACTTTGAACTGCTATCGATAGGATAGGAGGCATAGACTTGCGAAACAGTTTCAAACCATATAAAACTTCATCAGATTTCAACAAGTCTTCGCTCAAAGCCTATAATTGTTTTAATTAGTTTAATTTACTCCACCTGACACACAAATGATATAACTCTCACATTGACAAAATCAGCATCATGTTGAGAACTCAGTTTTACAACTTAACAAAGAAATGTAGTAAAATAGAGACAGAATGTTCCTGTGACCTATTCATTTTATGATTTTAAGGCAGCTAATCACATGAAGCCTGGTGGTCACGTAACCCAGTTTCAGGCTCAATCTTTTATCAGCGGGTTGAGGGCACTTTTGAGTTGGTACCTAAAATGTGCTACATAGGGATTTAAAATATCATGGCATCAAAGAAGAAATGTGAAGCCTTTTCTTGGTCGATGATAACACTGAAGCTCTACTTAGATTTGTATTTTTAAAAATATATTTTAAAAATGGTAGAGAATTGCACAACCAGCACAAGCAACATTTTGATTTTACACCAGATGCACAGTGAGTGATTTGCAATGCTAATATATATATATATACGGTCAGACAGTAGGTCTACTAATAGCTGTTGTAACTGTTAACATAACACATTGCACAACTTATTATTTTTGTAAATCATTGCCAAAGACAGCTAGCTATCAAAGCAGGAGTCATTAACAATATAAAATCATGAGGACCATCTTCTAACAAGTTAACAAGGCAAAGTCTTTTCATCAAAAAATTACATTCAAACTTTTTTCTTTCCAAAACTGACTGTACAATACACTACATTAAATAATATGAAGAATAAAGGACTATATCTGCTAGACCCACCTGAGGATTGCTTGCCCCCTTCTTCACTTTTCAGGGGGCGCAGCTCAGGAACAACTGAATTGCAAAAGTCCTGGTCTTTACAACAGCGGACATTTTGCTGATCCTTCATGAGCTCACTGACATGGCACATCAAGGCTCGACCTTCAAGGATGAACTCCTTCTTGTGCAAGCACCTGTAAGCAGACAATTTTAAAAATCAGGTCTGGAAAAGAAATTCCTTTTACTTCGATAAACTGGCCACTCAGTCTAACATCTGTCTCATTGGAACAGCAGTTACAAGTATTGAATGAAATCAACTCGTTTTGGGTTGTTTTTTTCTAAAACCATTCAGATACAAAATGTCGACTTCAAAATGATCTAATCTAATGGCATCAAATCCGAACTGTCGAGAGCAATATAATGAACATGTAAATAAAATCTTGCTGATTTTATTTTAAAACCTAGAAAATTGTGTCTAGAAAACGTTAAAGTGCTTGAAGGGAGACCAAAAAAATTCAACCAATAACAAGTACACCAGACTGACTTTGCACTACTGATATTAAAGGCAACACAACACATTCATTCTAATTTTCCTAGATGGAAACCAATAAGTGGGAGGCATATTTTGGCTTAATAAGCTTTAAAATTGTAACAACTTGTTTTGAAGCATTTTTTAAAGAACCAAACCCCCCCCAAAAAAAAAAAAAAACAACCCACAACCATGAGCAACATAATTTTAATAATAAACTTAATAATAAACCTCAATTGATCATCCTATTGAATGAGGAAAAAAACTGAAGGAGAGAAAAACTTAAACTTAAAATGAAGATATGATGAAAGCTGGCCCCAAAACAGTCAATAGTCACATTCAAATTTCACTTACTGTCTGTTGATACGAATGACTTCTTTGTTGCTTATCCTGAGGCCATTTTTGTCCTTTTCCTTGTCTCTCACAATGATGGACATACAGTATCCTTTTGCTGTGTAGCATGTGGTATTTGGAGCACCACCAGGGCGATTGCAGTATTGACATTCTATACACTGTAAACCTGTAAAAGAAAACATTGTATTTTCACGAACCACCGAAGAATCAATGGGTTTATTAGTCAAAAGACTTTTAATGTTTCCATGCTTTTTGAGTGTCCCTAAATAAACAGCTGGTGGGTTGGGGGGGGGGGGGGATATTTTAAACTGTAACTTTCTTTTAAGGTAAAATTCTGATAATTACCCATTTTCCAGTTTTCAAAAAAAATTTTAATACTTTTTCTTGTGACAGTATAATAGGTACAGTGAAGGCTTTAGTTTTTTGTTTTAGTAGAGGTTTAACGGCAGTCGCAACTGCATAAGGTCATATGAACGCCAATGGGTGAATGTCAACAGAGAAGCCCTTACAGGGAATCAGACTTACTCTGCTCACCTCTCTGGCTTCAACAGCACAAAGTCTGCTTCGACTATCATGGCACCCCAGAAATAGCGGGTCACAAGAGTGTGACAAACATACAAAAGAAGTAGAGGAAAATGATGATAGTAAGGATTAGGAAAGAAAAAGCAGCAGTTTCCTGTTGTAGTTCAGGCACAGTTATGAGCATGACTAGGGGCGAAGCGTCTATATAATCAAATAATCACTGCTTCCCTTCCTAATTTTGAAACTTGTCGCTGTCAAATTCACCTATAAATGTAAACCTCATAAATTAAATGTAAAAAGACGTTCATAATCCACAATGAACAGTATGCCTAACATTCAAAAAGGTTTCACTGCCACAGAAATAGCCTGCTCACCCCTCTCGGGCCACTCCATAAGCAGTCACAAGCTTTGATTAAGTAAGCTTATTAAAGTGAAGCTGGAAGAGTCTACCATTAGAGTTGAAGGGAACATGTCCATAGCAGTCAAAACTGTTTCATTGCCACATTTATAAATACCCTGTTCACCCCTTTGGGGCCACAGTTATAAAGCAGTCGCAAACTCTGATTATGTAAGCTAACTATTACACTGGTCGAGTCTACCTCACAAATTTAAGGGGAACTAATTCCTAACAATCTCTTGACTGAGCTGCTGCAAGTGCTTGCTTTTTTTCCCTCGACGTTTTACCGTCCTATAATCAGATCATGACCCCGATTATGACACTGCCTCCGGGCCGTAAAAGGCTAGACAAAAACAGCCAAATGTGAAATTTTAAAAAAAGGATAAATTGTCATGTTCTACCAAAGAGTTAGACTCACGGGTAGATCTATAACATATAGATTATAGATCTAGTACTGACATCTCTGCTTCTTTGCTTTGTGTTTAAACTTGTGTATTCACATCTAAAGTTGGAATTAATATCTAATAAGATACTTTCCCGATTATTTTGGCGGTTGAACATACAATATGAATTCCGGATTTGTTTTCATTCACAATTCACAACTCACAGAGTCGCCGCCTCGAGTAAGATTCTTGTGTGATAATAATATCTCCAGGCCATCTGGTCCCGTTTCACTTTAATTACCCTATCAAACAAGTCAGCCTTTGCCCCTGAGCATGACATTGTTCGATCAGCCCATCTACTGTGCACTAGAACGAGAAACGGTCCCCCTTTGGGAATGGCCTAAAGACACTTCAGTCAGTGGCACCGTCCCGGGGAGTACAGTGAAGGGTTTTTTAAACAGTTTTAGAGAGACTAGTAAATAACAAGGAAGTTTGCAAGCATGCCCTACCTTCACTAGGAACAATTATATCACTTTACAGCATGTTATTGGCATACAATGGAGTCCACTTAAAAACCTAATCTGAGGGACCACCGCATTTTCTTCAGTTTGGAGTTTGGACTAATTTTTTATTTGCAAAGAATGCTTAAATAACAATGACTATTGACAGCGTTAAGATTGGAATGTTGTGTTGGAGGCAAATTTTACTTTTGGAAAGTTTTTCCTCATCTCTATCTCTTTCAATGACGGTAATTTGAGCTGTAGGCTGTATGCATTGTGCTTTCCCTTCCACATTTTCAAACTAACTTCATAGTGACATCAGGCCATGACCAAAGTACAAAGGTTGTGCACCAAAAGCACATATTACTATCCTTGTGCCACAAGGCCTATAGAGATATCATGCATAGGACTATTGATTGCGTATGATCAACAAAAGTGAACAGTAAACTGGCATTGCTTTTCTCTGGCTCATAATCAACGCAAATGTGCTCTCTCAAGTCTGTCTCTTCTTTTTCAATGTCTTCAAGCATGTGAGATTTGACGCATTGCTTTACTAGAGGGTTGCTAGGGAAGTTTTCGATGACATAAATCTCCGAATTCTTTTCGGTTTCGAAAATTGGAGCAAGTCATTTAATAGAGATAGTTTCTTACAAAGACAAAGAAGAAAAAAATCAGGGCACTGTTATAATTTTATTTCCCGTTTATCGCAGTTTTCATGCCACTGCGTGTCAATAATAATTATGCAACAAAATTAGAGCAATTCTAGAATATCATATTGCTGATCTTTTTTCCATCTTGGTATGATTGGTGTATTATTTTGCAAATAGATAAGAAAAATTGGTCACAATGATGTGAGGTGCACACAAATGGGAACACAAAAAAGCTTTCTAAGGGGAAGATCACATTTTAAGCTCACAGCTAATCAACATTCATCATTCAAAATACACTGCCTTAACAACCACAGTAGAGCTCTTTCTGGTTTAGTTAATTATGACATCATGTCCCTTTTCCAACAAAATACATGTATGATGATACAGTAGTCTCCACATAAGCATAAGACCCACCACTTACAATCCCAGTTCACTTTAGAACCTGCTGTTTTAAGAAAACAATTTCTGCTACACAAAAGTCACCCCTAAGATCTTGCTTGGAAGGGCTAAGATCCTGCATTTAAGATCATAATTTACGGAACAAAAACATGGGCAGGCACAGCTTATCAACCAAGCAGTACAAATTTACGATCAATGTACTTCTCCATGCGGCACAGATCATTCACTCTCATAAAAGTGAACACATCTCTGTCATAAATCTCTAAGAAATGACACAATGTTTACCCCAAACCAGGTCCCCACCGCGGTGTGAACCCGTCAACGTGTTTGTTTTCCCCAAACATTGCACTCGCACTGAGCTCTCCACCTGAATTTACATGTTATATTGTTACAAGCTGGGTGGGTATGGCCTATAAATCCATGTCAGATGAGATCCCATTGAACTGTGAACTCTTTGGAGCTTTTGTTTCCAAAACTACTGCAGCAGTAGTTGTTGTCTGTTCCCCAATACTAGAAAGGCTGAATTTAAATTGGTGCAGTCACCACGCACAATGATGTGTTACAACAGGAGCATGGGAACTTGGAGATAGACGATTATAAATTTTGGACAAGTAAGAGAGAGAAGCAATAGGATCAGCTAAGATCTTGAGACTCACAATCTGATGAGGGAAAATTGCTACTTCATGTTGTGATTGGTTATCAATGTTGACCACTTTCTGCTCACCATAAGTCATTTCAACACAACCAAGGGTCATGTCAGTTCATTTCAAGTCAAGGGACACCATTTTACAGTTACAGAATGTGGACCTGACAATAAGCATCCCCTGGGTGTGTTTGCTATCTGTTCGTTCTCACACTTACAGGATTAATCTCTTGATCAAAACCTCAAAGCCAAAGAAAAGTCACATCAAAGGTCAAGTTTGAACAAGATTGAAAATATGTTTTTTTTAAATAAACACACTTACTTTGCCTGATAGTAAAGATGGAAAAAGAAACCAACACTTTTAGCCGACCTTACTTTAAAAACTTAGGGAGCAGGCTCTCCAAGACACGAGTCCATTAATACTTTGCAGTCACGCAGCCAGCAGTACAAAATACCCCATCTGGTCACACAGCCAGGAGAGCGACTGCAACGGACTCCTCTGGCCTGGCGCAGTCAGAGCAGATAATTTTCACTGGCGCATTATTGCGCCAAGTGACTGCAAAGGGTTAAAAAGGAGGCATAGTATAGAGTATATAATACTCCAAGGTTCTGCCTAAGTCTGGTCCTGTGACGCTGTGGTTCAGGCTGTTGTACCTCTGCCTCAGCAGCAGTGGTGATTGTTACTGTCTCTAGCCCTAGTCTAACTACATCAATTCAGAGGGGGGGGGGGGGGGGGGGGAGGCTCTCGTGGTGTATAGGTTACGGTGTTTGCATCTCATTCAATAGGTCATGGGTTCAAAACCTGACAGTGACAGAAAATTTTCTCCTTCCACCTCCTTTTTCTGCTCTCTAGCTCTTTGACCATCACGTTCTGTTGTCTGCTTGTCTCCACTTTCTGCCCCACTCCAACCCTTGCCCCCCCCCCCCTCCTCCTCTGGGCTCCTTCTGTCTCTTTCTGCACCATTTTTACTGACTCTTTGGCTCCTCCTTACTGCTGTCTTTCAGTCACCCCTAATCTTATGGTAAGATCTAACACCTCCAAGCCTTCTCAGATAAGGGCAAAAAAACTTGGGAGCGGAGGTCTAGTGAGCAAGTCGCACATGTTTAAGATTTAAGATCACTTGGTGGTCTTAAAATCAATAAGAGTCACAGAGTAGACTTCAGCCCACACCAGGGCAAAATAACCAATTTAATTCTTACCAAACTAAACATGTTTATTAATATACTGCAAACTCATATAATATATATATATAAGACCTAATACAGTAGCGAGCGCCGTAAAAACACTTACCAAAACAAAAAACAATAACTCAATTCAGAACTGCACAAACAAGGGAACGACTTTTGCAACGAGCGACTACCCCAACAAACACAATAAAGAAGAGACCTAACCCTAACTCAACCCCTAACCCACCCGACCACCACCCCTACCCCAAACCCTTTATTATATTCTACCACTATGTTTCTTAGACATAAGCTAAAGAGAGAACCTTGCACACCTCAATGATTGGCCTGAAATAGATAATGTGTTTCTGCTATCTATGTTGTCTTCCAGGGCTTCCCTTGCGAGTTGACAGGCTAGATCTATCACCCTTTATTATCATTCATTGGAATGCCAGTCAAAAAGTTACTAAAAAATAGAAAAGCAGCATGTTGTAAACCACTATTACCA